TTCTGCATGCCCACACCTGCTTGTCAACGCTGCGCCCTGCTGCCGGAAAGAACCCGACATGCTCACACCTGCTCATCGATGCTGCACCCCGCTGCTCCAAAGAAAGCGCGTCCAGCGGCTGGCCGCTTGAAGGGAAGAGGGTTGTACATACATGGGCCCACCCACTTTTCGCAGCAGGTGCCCTGGATGCCGCCCGCATGCCGACGCATGTCTGTCACAACGCCTCCCGACACCACGGGTTGCGCCTGTCCCGCCCGGCTTGAGACACTGCCCCGGCCCGTGGCCAGGCGGAGCACCAACTGCTGACGTCACAGTCACCATCGCCCCTCTGATGACTTGCAGTTCCACTCTGGAAACACGGCGGCCGGCCTTCGATAACTCTTTTGGAAAAAGAAACAGAAACTCACCCCGTGTGTGCGCAAAAAAAAAAACACCTCTGTTGCAGAATGATGTGCCCCAGCATGCGTGAGAAGATGCCTTGGTGTTCCATTTCCAGGTATGCCATGAAATAGGATATGCCTCTACAACTTTTAACAATCGGCCCATAAGCCGACCGAGGCTCGCCGAGCCCATTCTTTAGAGGTCAGGCTTCAAAGTTGAAATGGCACCTGTGGAATCATATGTGAATGAGCAGCAGATTGTACATATGGGTCAGAAATTCAGAATAGAAGGGCAATTTTTTGAGTCCAACATTTTGTAATAGGGCCTCGCCACACCTATCTCAAAGACAACTTTTTTTTCGAGAGCACTCTCAAACGCGGGAATTGACGAAAAATGGTTTGCGAGGCCTCGTCGGCACATTGCGCTCTCGAGAGTGGCACTCTCCAATGTGTGAGAGGAGACCCGGGATTTTTTGCAGTTTTCGTGAGCACAGTGTGGCGATACCGAGTTGCCCTGAACGCAGCGGCATGGCCCGAAACCACGTTCACGGTTCAGGAGTGCTCTCCAACTGACAAGTGCGAAGCTGCAGGAGGTTGTCGGTCGCGGCACACTCTCGACTTTCGGGCCGAAATCGGGTGCTCCTCGGACCTCTCTTGAAAAGGGCTAGTTTGCAGGCAGGCACTCACGAAAAGTTCTAGAGCGCTCCCACGACCTGCGTTCTGACCACTCTCCAACTTTTTTCTGACACTGGTTTTCGAGAGTAGGTGTGGCGATGCTTCTCTAAAATCCCGTTTTCGACATTAAGTGTGGCGAGGCCCATATTGTTCTTCAAAGTTCAAAACAAATTCAGTTTAATTCACACTCCGAACGTGAACTGTCAGAGAAAGCAATTTTTGTCAGCAACCACAATTTACCTTCAATGTCGTGGGGTGATCCTCTCCTATTCTCTCTGCATACATACTAGCTGTCAACCGAACGACTGGCAACGCCTCTGCGATCATCTCCCAAAGCACCTGGAATCAGTGAGGCTTACCCAAAAGAACATGAATAAGAACAAGAACGACAAGACGACAAACGGGAGAAGGAGGAGCAGGAGCACCAGCAGAAGGAGGAGGAGGAGGAGGAGGAGGAGGAGGAGGAGGAGGAGGAGGAGGAGGACAGTACGGGTGAAGAGAAGAAATTACTGAAAGTCAATTATCTGAATTAGAGAAAAAATAAATGATAATCAACAATTGCACAAGAAAATTACAAAATGAAAATTGCAGCACCAAAGCATAACATGCACTGACACGATAGAACCCACAACTGCTTAACAGGGACCCACTTTTCAGCCCCAGGTTAACACCCCCAACACTGAAAAGTGCAATTGGTTTTTTTGCCATGTTTTTTCATTGTTTTATTTTTATCAAGGTCTGCGTGTGCCAAGTTTGGCGTTTGTTGGGGTCTTTGAGATGACTGTTTTGGCCAGCCCTCAAAATCTTGACAAGTCTGGCCTAAAAGGTGTGGGATGTTTGTTATAACGACCCTGAAAAAAACCTGAAAATTCAGGGCTTTGTTAACCTCTTCTCCTAGAACCACGGCGGTACAAGATGCATAGACAAATGGTTCATTCGGACATGCAATTGCAGTGAAATGATCCAAATCCTCACAGCACGCAACCTCGCAAACATGCAATGAACAATCACACGAGAGTTCACACGTGAGAAGCCAAAGCCGAGTTCCAATCAACGCATAAAGAAATCGTCACCAAATTATCATTATTATACAAAATTGTTAATGTCACTAGCGCCTCTTCCGCTCACACACTCAGCATCCCCACATCGGCTACTCTCTCTCTCTCTCTCTCTCTCTCTCTCTCTCTCTCTCTCTCTCTCTCTCTCT